CTGGCAGAGGGGCGGGATATAAATAAAAATTATTATTATTATTATGAAATTTGGAGTGGAAGCTGTAGGATTGTCTTGCTTTACAAACAACATCCATGGACCTCTTTAATTAATGCAGGACCATCTATCTTAGGGCCTACGCAGACTGCCAGAAATAGTGCACATTAAATTGAGGCACTGCCCTAGCTCAGTGCTAGGGAATCATGGGAACTGTAATTTATTGTGGCACCAGAGCTCTCTGACAGAGAAGGCTCAATGTCCCAGAAAAAAAATACAGTTCCCATGATTCCCTAGCACTGAGCTAGGGCAGTGCCTCAATTTAATGTGCACTATTTCTGGCAGTCTGCTTAGGCCTTTAGATTGTCACTGGAAAAAAAAAAACTGAAAGCTTTTTGAATAAAAAACACACTAAGAACATTTCCATATATGAATTATTTCTAGAGCATTGCCATATATAAATTATTCAGATATATTCAAATGATAAAGGCAGGTAGCTTGACATTACTGTTGCTACACTTGCAAATAAGCTGTTTTGGTCTGCAGGTGACATGCAATTTGATATAACTAGTGTTATTCCTGGAGTGGGAAAACCCAATTTCAAACTTACATGCAGCTATGAAGCTCACTAGGGCTGCATCTGTACTGCAGAAATAATCCAGGCTGACACCACTCTAACTGACATGGCTCAATGCTATCGAATTATGGGATTTGTAGTTTTATGAGACAGTCTTCCTTATCAGAGAGCTCTGGTGCAACAACAAACTATACAACCCAGATTCCATAGCATTGAGCCATGACAGTTAGTTGTATCATCCTGGATTATTTCTGCAGTGCAGATACATCCTAGGTGACACTGGATCAGTGTCTCTCAGTCTAGGAATTCTCATTGGCTTGTTGTAATGCTCACAGGGAAAGAATTTAAAGTCTCATGAAAATACAGTGGAAAGAGTAAGTGGAGGAAGAGCACAAACATACAGGAAAACCTCACTTTTGCTAATCAGTAATCAAAAACAGTGGGTAATTCTTTATGAAAGGGGCAGCCTGTGTTTTGTGCAGCATGGAGATCTTATTCCAGAATGGTGGAATGAAGCATGGTCTCCTTTCTGGATAATCCTAGAGGTAGGGCTTGAGGAGGGCATGCAGAGGGTTAGAACATTCTCACAGGCCACTGCAAGCTGGAAGTTATTCTTCTCTGTCTTAAAGCAAACAAAGACATTCCTATCCACAAATGTCAAATAATAAAATATTAACTAGGACATAGCAGGATTATTGCATTAATTTCCCATGCAAGCAAAGTGATGCTCAAACATCTATTTCACCATAAACAAAGCAAGAGATACTAGATGTCAAAGCTGCATTGAGGAAGGAAGAGGCACTAGGGATGATATTGCAAACATACCTTGGAAAATGGACCTTGCCAAGGAATTTCAGAAGTAAACCAGCTGTTCTTTATAGATTATAACAAAGCCATTGGTTGTGTAGATTATGAAAATCTGAAAGAAATGGGTGTGCCACAGCATTTGATTGTTCTGATACATAATCTATACTCAAGGCAATAGGCTACTATCAAAACAGAATACAGAGAAACAGAATGGTTTCCAAATAGCAAGGGGGACAGGCAAGGTTGCATTTTATCACCCTAAAGTTTTTAACTTGTGTGCTGAATATTTAATACATAAAGCAGGATTAGAGGAGGTAGGAGGCATGAGAATTGGAGGAAAGAATATCAACAATCTAAGATATGTAGATGACAAGGGATCTAGGAATCCAGGTGGACCACAAGTTGAACATGAGTCAAC